GATGTAACTGTGCCCCAGCCCCTTCCAACCTCTGTACGGTGTGAGGATGTAACTGTGCCCCAGCCCCTTCCAACCTCTGTACTGTGTGAGGATGTGACATGCACTCACTGAGCAGTGGGGGCAGCCAGTTCACGTTGACCTCGCAGTGGGAGTCCAGGAACGTCAGTACTTCTCCTCTGGCCATCGAGGCCCCCAAGAGCCGAGTCCGGATGAGCCCTTCCCTCTTCTTGGTGCGAAGAATCCTCACTTTGGAAAATCGGGACATGTATTCTTCTAACTTATCCTTCAAATGTTCTGAGAAGGAAAGGGAGAATGTATGGAGAAAATGCAAAATGTCAGCCACAGTCGAATTATTCATGAGCATTTATGCATAGCTTAGCATTTTTAAAGTCCTTTTTTTCCTCTCCTCATCTAGAGGGAAGATATCCGTAATATTTTATGCTTAAAGAATTTTATACTTGATATGTTTCAAAATGCTTCATAAATTGCAAATAGTGCCCTCATTTGAACATAGTAGAAGCCAGTGGCGACACACCAGAGCTCTATGCATTCTTGTTCCTATTGCCACAGGCCCCCCTCTTTATCCTGGGTAGCATTTGTAAGGTGAGGTTCAGGCCTTTGGTTCCTGCCAAATAGTATATATTAAAAACAGAGAGCACTTTGCAATAGGGTTTAAAAGTTAAAAAGTGTTAAAAAGAATGCATGGGAAGCGACAAAAATGAAAAATAGCTATCAAATCACCAAGAAATAAAACAGATTTTCCTATCACAAAACTCAACACCATTGAGTAGGAACTGACTCATAGCTGAATCTCCACTGAGGTTTGTATGGGAGAAGCTTTTTTATCTTTCCTCTGAGAAACTGCTGGTGAATTACACCTCTCAAATTGACACCACCATGGGTTAGCAATGTCATTCCCCACGGACTGAGTTACCTGAGCTTCCTTCTAACACAAAAAGTAAAAGCAAAATAGTTTGCAAACTGAACATCTGGCATCTGATTTGAAATGGAAAGATGTCTGACTTGCTATTAATGAAAGGAAAAAAGTAGATGGAATACTACATCGTAATTTAGAATTTGACTATTTAATATTGTTGTTGTTGTCGTCTGTGATTGAGAGAACAAACACAGAGCTGACCCTTCTGTGGGTGTTTAGAGAAAAATTCACAAGAGGAGTTTGCCCATCCAACATTAGAAAATGAAAATTTGGAATTGTCTTTCTGACAAGCTAAAAAAAAAAAGAGTAGGAATAATCAGATAACTTATTTACAGAAGGAAAATATTGCCTAGTTGCTGTGATAATATGCATCAATCTCTCAGTTCTCTTCTTTGTCAAGGAAGTGTGGTTTCTGGCTTGCTGTGGGATATGCACTTATATCTTTTTGATCCCTTGCTTTCACTTCCCTGTGTCTATGACATTATGAGGGTTTTGCTGAAGCTTCTAACAAGCATTGTTTAATATTCACTGAGATGAAATTTAATATTGCGTGTGCCCTGCATTTTTCACTTTTCACCCTTTCTCTGCATCAAAGCCAATAACTTATTAAATTTCTTCCCATGATCCATAGTAATAAAGATTCATATAGGGTTTATTATTCTTCCTCTGCTATCAAAAGAGCTGTGGAAAAACAGTGGCCTAGCTGCTAACTGGAAGCTTGGCAATTTGAACTCCCTGTCCTCTTCATGCAGTGGTGGACTAGTGGGTAGGGTGTTGCATTGCGAACCCAAAGGCACATGGTTTAAATTCACCAGCTGCTCTGTGGGAGAAAGATGTGGTAATTCTTTTGCAAGGATCTACAGCTCCCCAAACCCAATGGGGCTGTTCTAACTCTTGAATATGGTGTCTGTGAGTGAGAATGGCAGAGGGGTTTGCTTGTTTCCCTGATACTCGATTTGTTGTTGTTATTGTTACGTGCCATTGAGTCCCTTGCGACTCATAAAGACCTAACCAAGAGCCCTAAATCCTGCTCTATCCTGTGCCAGCCTCACTGTCTCTGACACATGTACTCCCATTATTACCCCAATCACTGAATCGATCCATCTCATCTAGGGTCTTCCTCTCTTGTGCTCTCCATCCACCCTCCCAAACACGATGTCCCTCTCCAAGGACTGATCCCTCATTGCAACATGCCTAAACTATATCAGACAAAGCTTCAGAATCCTTGCCTTTAAGGAGCAGCCTGATACGAAGTTTAACAGATGTCAAAACTACTCTGCATTACAGTTTCTCTAATTTCTTTTTTGTGTATTAAAATATTTAATTTTTCTTGTAAACTTATGTATGCCGTTGTTGCTTATAGATTGGTCAATTACAAATACTTTTTAACTCCTAATTTTCATTACAAAACATTTAAGAGCTCTAGTGACTTAGTGGTAAAGGATTGTGCTGCGACTCAAAGCCATGTGGTTCAAATCCACCAGCTGCTGTGCTGGAGAAAGATAAGCAGTCTCTTTCTATGTGGTTTAGAGCCTCAGAAAACCCACTGGAGTGTAGGTTAAGAGTTGATTTCAAGAGAATAGTACATCACAACAACAATATTTCAAAAGGGCTATTTCACTCATATTATGGTCACTTCTTTATTGTTCTTGCAGCTATCAGAGATGCAGAGACTTGTATTTTGGTGGGCACTCTGGAGTTGACTGTGACTCACAGTGACCCTGGCATTAATAGACAGGAATCTTGCCCTATCCAGCCAGATCCTGTACCACCCTCATGACCTAACAACCATGCTTGAGTTCACGAGGCTACCAAAGAAAGCAAAGATGATAGAATTTAGAGTCAGCATAGGGCTGGTGGGGAGGATTGTGATAATGATGTTTTCTGGTAGGTCATGCGAGGTCCATACACATCGATCCTACTGGTGACCCAGAGATTATGCCCCTCTGGCAGTTTGAGTCCATCAGCAGCAACCCAGGAGAAAGATGGACAGATTTGTAGCCTTGAAAAACCTAGTGGAGGGTCATCTATAGGCCAGTTTGGACTCAGTGAAGGCAGAGTTGGCTTTGTTCATTTGCTTGCTTGTTTTTAGCAGTGCAACAGTTAGCAGAAAGGCTAGTGGTTGGAACCCACCTGTTGACTCATGGGAGCAAGACTTGGTTGGCTACTTGCTCCCCTAAAGTTTACTGTTTGGTGCTGTTAAGTTAGCTGTGACATATAGTGACTGTATATGTACAGCAGAAGGTAATGCTGTTGGGTCTGTACCATCCTCCCAATTCTCTCATGTGTTAGAATCTTGAAAGGTCTGTGTTCTGTCATGACTTCCTGCAGTACATTATATTAGCCTGTTGTTAAAGCCACTATGACAATCTATCTCAGAGGGTTCTTCTTTATCGTTGACTCTCTATTTACCAAATGTGATGTCCTTCTTCAGTCCTTCATGATAACACAGCCAGAGTACATGAGGCAAAGTTGTTTTGTCCTCACTTCTAAAGAGAACTCTGACTGTACATCTTTGCAAGACATATTTGTTTGCTCTCTGGCAATCCATGGTCAATATTCTTCACTGACACCATGGTTCAAATGCATCAATTTTTCTTAGTTATTTCTTCTTCACTGTCCAGCTTTTGTTTGCTATGAGATGGTTGAATATATCCTGAAGTAGATAAGGGTCACCTTTTGTTCTGAAAGTGATATTTTTGCATTTTAACATCTTAAATAGAACGTTATGCATCATAAAAATTATACTATAGAAAACCTTATGTGGGACTTTCTAATCTGTCACATTGGGGTGTCTGTAAATTGAAATAAACTTGAGCAGATTTAACAACTACAGTTGTAATTTACTAGACATTGGAATCTGCAAATTGCTAATTTACAACATAAATGAATTTGTAAATCAGTTGTTGGAGACACAGAAGGCGTGGTCTCAGGCAAATAGCATTGCACAAATCGTTGGAATTGGATATAGATGGAAAATATTTGTGGAGCTTATAAGTATGCTGTCCTCCCACCATTGTTCCTTTGCCAGACGTACTTCTCCATGAGCCAACATGGCTGTCAGGGCACATTCTCTGTTTTCTCTCTGCCCTCCACGGATGAAAGAAGACTTTCTTTAGCAAGAGGAGGAGCAATTCTCTAGAGTTGCTAAAAAAAGATGTCACTTGAGAAGATGGTAATTTCCCAAGTGTTCTAAAAAAAGAATCCAAGGGCTGCTGCATCACCTATGGTAATTGTCCCTCCGGATTTAGGCTCAATTTATTTTCATTTATAGGAAATTCTTTAATTTGTAGAAAACTCTTTTATAAGAAATTCTCAGCTCCCAGAGGCAGTTATTTCTACATGCATCCTTTCTTGATCCCTATTTGAGTCTGTATATTGTTTACATACAAAAGTTCATTTTAATGTGGAGAAAGGATTGATGGTGTAAATTTACAAAGAACAAGGGATTTGACCCCCAGAAGTTTCCCACTAGTAGTCTGGATCAGTTCCTCTGGTTTGTACTTGGCGGTGATAATTAGATTGCTTTGCCTCAGAATAATGATCTGGTTGACTGCTTTCTGTGAGCAGGGCCGTCCTCTCAGTAGTTTAGTTGTAGCTTATAATTATCCACAACTCACAATGAAGGCAGGTATCATCAGGCTAATTAGCAAATTAGACTCTTACAAAGGAGCGGCTGATGAGAGCAGAGATAGCTTTAAATGGAAAATATTTTGTAATTCTCTTGTTTGAGCCGTTTTAAGCATGGTTTTCATTCCATTTCTAAGACACTTTAAAAATGATTTAAACATGTTTTTATCATCTGTGAATTCAAGCAGACAGCCACGTCTTTCTCCTATCAGGGCAGCTTGTGAGTTTGAACCACTGACTTTTTGGTTAACAACTGGTTAGAACAACTGTGCCCCCAGAGCTTCTTCCAGTGAGTTTATTACGGCTGAAATCCACTGAATAGGATTCCAAAGACCTGGAAGAATTAATGGAATTTTTAAAATTCCAGGTTTTGCCAGAGTATCTTACAATTGTGTGGGAATAATAATAAAATGGAAATTGTATTCAAGTGAAATTTTGGTGTCATACCATTCTTGAACAGTAAATTCAGTAGTTTTCTGTGATTTGTTTTCCTCTTTCCCCACAGATATTATTTCTGCTTCATATGCTTATAGGGAGAAGACACTGTTAATTATTTAGTGATTTCAGTGTTTAGGGTGGCAATAGTTCTAAAAAAAAAAAGTACTGATGAAGATTTTTTAGTTAGCTCTAGTGGCCTAGTGGCAAGAAGCTGTACTCCAATCCTGAAGGTATGCGGTTCGAATCCACCAGCTGCTCCATGAGGGAAGGATGGGCAATCTCCTCCCAT